GTCATACGCACCGTCGACCAAAGGTTGTCGTGTTACTTGACCCAAAAGGAGCCTTCGACTCAGTTGATGGTGAATCCCTTATGGGTTCACTCCTTCGCAGAAGTGTGTAAATATACTGAGTTCACTCTACTCACATACCTCTGGTAGCGTAAGGGTCTACGGCTAGCTGAGTAGATCGTTCGTAAATAGCAGCGGTGTTCGTCAAGGATGCCCTCTTTCGCCATTCCCGTTCAATTTCGTCTTAGACGAAATACTGGAGAACACACTAAGTGGCCTCTAAAATGTAGGTATTGAATGGACAGCTGGAGAAAAGCTGTGAGATTTGGAGTACGCTGACGACATTGTTTGCTTGTTCGAATGTATGGAGGATGCGTAAATAGCACTTGACAAATTAGCAAGTTCTGTCGCTCCGTTCGGCATGTACTTTGCACCTTAAAAGTGTAGAATGATGCTACAAGACTGGGTGTCACCGAGTTCTGTTTTGAAATTAGACTGTCAGGAATTAGCTGTAGTTGACTGCTTCTCGTACATAGGCATCTACGTGACCAACGACAGTAGCGCATCGAAGGAGATAACCGCCCGCATTTCTAAGGCTCGAGCAGCGTACGCAGGACTTAAACACCTGTGGCGGAGACGTGACGTGTCACTGAAGTTGAAAAGTTGCGTATACTGCACGATCAGTTCTGCTTTACGGTTGTGAGACCTTGCGGGTGGAAGACACCCGTCGTTTAGCAGTGTTCGACGATCGATGCCTACATAGTCTGGCCCAAGTGGGATGAAGTAAGCAGGTTAGTAATTTAGAAGTAAGTCGTCGGGTGTTTGGGAATACATCAGACATCGCTATCTCATCGAATCCAGTTCAGTAGGCTCCGTTGGTTAGGACAAGTTTTGCGTGTCCGGCGGTCGCCCACCGCAGCGCGCCTTGTGTGCAGGCTGAAAAAGCCACGTGGAGGCCGGCAGTTGACGTGGAGACGAGGCATAAAGAAATGCGCCGAGCGATTAGGTAGAGTAGGTGTCTCTCGTCTTCCGGGTTGGGGTCCAAAGGACTCCGAAACCGCATGGTTGGAGACACTGAAGTTCACGGCTGCGAACCGACAACAATGGCGATCATGCTGTCACTTCTTACCAGTCCAGAATGCTTGAACTAGTATCTATGCACAACTGGACTGTCTACTCTGTGTTGACCATAGAGGTTCGCTTTCTTTTCCCGTCCCTAAAAATAGGCCTAATCACTGTCCTCCTCACACATTCTCACTTATCTTGTGTGCATTACGAGTTTGGCAGCGGTCAGTGAAGTTCGCTTCACTGTATTACGCTGTACAATGATGATGATGATGAGTTTCAGTTTCCAACCCTCTATTATCCAAATGAGTTGCTTCGCTGCATCAATGTGATAATTACGACAGATGATGAAATCACGAAAAAAATCATGCATGTTTCTACTGTACCTCAATTCATACTAATGGCGTTTGAAATTTCAGGTTGCTGAGCTAAATATGGCAACAAGCCGGTAAATTCACACGGTGGTAACGTCACCGAATTACCACCTCGGGGACGTGTTCGAACCCCACCACCACCCGCCTGACTTTCATGGCAGCCCTTTGATGGGCCGCTTCTCCTTCCTTATAATTTTATCATTGTGTATTCAATAAAAGGAAGTAAAATGGGTAGTGGCAACATTTACGCCCATACGTGATACTGCACGAGAGGCATGTTGACGTCCGGTGTTAGTGATTCCCCACTGTGTTTTTGTGCGAGAAAATTAAAGTATCGATAGTGCGCTTTGTACAGTCTTTCTCCTTTTTAATTGTACATAATGAAGGAAATGAACCTTTACGTGCGGAAATCTATTACTGCTTCATAATTGCAACTGGTATTTTAAGCCTTGGGAGCAGAAGCTGATAACTGTATAAGGCCCAAAATCATTATTTTACGGCCCAGTTTCACATAGCCTTTCCCTTCCTCTGATATCTGTTGAGTACTTTTTAGAGTAACAGATAGCGCGTATTTTGATCCCCCAATCCAATCAATAAGCTCCTTATCTGCTTCACGCGACTATTGTACGCCTCAATCTGTGACCTTGCATCAAACAACCACGTTGATGTGTGCATAACGCATTTGCTAGTTTTGAAACTGACCGCTATCGTAGATACTCGGATTCCTCCGCCAGCTGGTCAGTGCTGATTTGTTGTTGTATGACGGTTGCTTCCGAGTAGACACTGAGTCATACTGCTACTGAGTTATTCTATCCATCGGTGTTATCCTAATCCAGGAAACGGACCGGCAGATCATGAAAACCGCTGCAGCAGTGTACCTCCCCCACTGCCACCGAGGCTCGGCAGGCCTCGTTCACGCACACTAGATGTACAATCCCGACCACTAACTGATGGCCCCGCGGAAACGCCCTGTTTACAGACAGTCGTTCCACAGAGTCGAACCGCACCGAATTTATCTGTTTGCGTTACTCCCAGCTTGCTCCGGCATCGCTCGAGCAGTGTACAAAACTTGGCAACAGGAGATTCAAACCAGATCACTTCGCGTTCAATGGACTCGTCATCCGAAAGTGCCTCTCCGATCATGTATATGGGACGGCCTATCCAGCTGCGCAAAAAATATGCCACCGTGAGTCAACGCTTTTTGGTTAAACTTCTCAACAATCAGTTGCCTTTGATAACCATATAAATGTTAGAAATATCGGAATTAAATCGTGTGTTTTGTGTGCATGCACCAGCCAACGAACAAGATATTACAAAACGTTAGTCCTAGTATGGATATTTACAAAATTCAATGGTACGCAAACCGCAGAGCCGAATGGAAGGAACCTTTTTCGACATCGAACAAAATCAACTGCACTTCTGTATTCTTTCTATTTTCAGTTCTCTCAAAGAAACACCTCCGTTGACGCGGTACCAGTCTACCAGCTTCACCGTGCCCGTACTGTCTCATGCAAGAGCTCGCGTAACATACCCCCGTTGACGTCGATTCTGTTCGAAGCAAGTCAACTTGCTGCGAAAGGCGCAGCACCCATTGCTTTGTCCGAATCCCATTCAGGAGGAGAATTCGCCAAGTTAGCTCAATCACCGGAGTAGTCGGGATGAAATAGCATCACTGTCACTACTTGCCAAAGCTGTTTCGATCACTTTTCGAGTTCAGAAAACGTCGACTATCTCTTAACTTGTGTACATATCATCTTTGTGCATCTGTTACACAAAACATCGCCGATATTGGCACACACATACACACCACTCACCACCGAAGTCTCTCATTTTGGCCACTGTGATAGCAAAATATCCGGCAGAACCCCTCCCGTCCCCCATTCCTTGATCCACTCTCATCTTTTCTGCTTTACATCGCACCAGCGCGCACGAGTACCGCTAACAACGCAGCGCAATGTGGGGTTATAGAGCAAAGCCGATTTTTTTGTCTTCCTTTTGTTGAAGACGTTTTGTCGATTTCGCTGGTTTGTATACTACACTCCAGTGCGAATTTGCTTTGGTGGTTCGAACTGGCAAGCTACACTGAATGATCAATTGTGTTCCCTCCACGTTCGATCACCAGTGGCACCTCTCTTTATCGACTCCCATGAGGGAATCGTTGTGCGTATATAATTCAAATAAAGAGAGATCATGCTGATCTATGTTTGTTTTCCCTCTTTAGTTGACCACAGTTGTGCGAATGGGTGACGAATTCGACAGCGTTTAATTCGATGTACCGGAGATCTCCCGTCTTAAATTAGCCAACCAGGACCGCAAACAAATCCGACTGTTTCCACTGGACTTCGCTCCGCGACGGAAACACTGTACACAGTCTAAAAAAGACCAGATCAGTGTGGGAAGAGACAATCATATTATTTTACCGATACCGATTGGACCCGAGTAGCTTGCTCAATATTTCAACATCGGATAGGACTCGAAAGCCAAATGAACGTTTGCAGTAGTTTCCTCTATCTGGCTGAGGAGCACTTGCGAATGAAAGGGGAGAAAGGTATCGGTTGGACCAGGGTCCGCATTCGGGGAGGGTTGGTACGCAGATTTGATGGAAATTCAGGTTCTCAATGATAAGTTGTCCAATTCAGTTGAGTATACGGAAGTGAAACGCAGATAAGTGAAGGAGTACTTTATTTTTATTAGCAACAATGACCAAGCTTTTCGGGGAATTTGTACGACGAAGAAATTATGTTAAAGATGTGCAGTTCTACTATATGTACACTCGGGTTTAGTGGTAACTAGCATCGCGAAAAGGGTTTGGCTATACTGATCACAGCTGAGTAATCATAGCGTGAAATACGAGAAAAAACGGTGACGTCACTTGTGACCTTCAACGGTTTGACGTTATATCTGGTGGTTTATTGCTCCTGTTCTTTTTCGTGATTGGGATTCTACCCCAAGGAGCTCAACAAATGTGTACAAGAGAACACTGCTGAATAGTTGATCTTGATTTGATCATTGGGTACGATGCCCGTGGTATCTCGGTAGCCTGTGATGATGATCTTGGCACTTTTTACCTGCTTCCAACAGCTGGATTTACTGAAGTATTTCCACATGTCAGCCCGCTTTTTTATTGATCGGGGTGGAAGCTTCGAGGTAATTTGGTAGAACGGTAATAATCTAACAGGAGTATTGCAAATATCTATTGGCGGAAAATGTTTTTATACACGGATGATTCTAGTAAATATGAGTGCTGAAAACGAAACCACAAATTTACAACGTCTTATCTGGCCGAAAACGAAAGTTCTGATTGAATTCCTATGGTGCGACGATGAAACTGCGTAGTATGATGTTTGCCAGTAATCGATACACGAAACGCAGGTGTTACATGGAGCGTGCAATAAACTGTCGGAAACTAAAACCCTTCGTGCCGATGGTTATTATGTGCGAATGGAATGCGTGAGTCATGATGATGACATTCCACGACAGGTGGAGAGTCTGAATCACTGCTGGGTCGATTACACTCGGTGCCAATGTGAAAAAACGGGAACAGTGAAAAGCTAAGAGAAATCATCTATTGTTCGCAAAAGGCCACATTCTATTGGACATGCACCAGTTGAATACGACGATGTGCAAGCACATTCAGCTGACCTCACGTCGGGCAGTGGCCTGAAATTGAAAGGAAAAAGTGGTGAAGCAGACTGTTCCCTCGTATCCATAAAACAATGATTATCTGAGGTTAAGACAAAAAATACTGTTACAACCAATAAACTGTTTTAACTATTGCTGGTTAAAAAGGACGCAAGCAAACGGAGTAGCTTCAGTGTAGTGTAAAACATAGCCCGCGGAACAGTTACACGGTAATCTATTTAATGTGCTGTTGCATGAGCGGAACAAGAACAAACGATAACCGAAACGGTTGTTGAACAAGCACGTACCAGACGGAAATTATTGACGCAGCGTACGTACTCCGCGACTAATTTAGAGCATAACAATGTCTTGCCAGGATTGGCTTGGTAGCAGTCCTCAACCCGTTGCTCTGCCGCTGTGCAGCAACCACCGGGAGTGGGGCGTCTACAAAAGAGAATTTTATCGTTGAAGTGAAATCAGCATCCCACAATGGATTTAGAACAAGGTCAATCTGGGATAAACCGGTGCAACCAGAATCGCACCGATATTCCGAACGGATTGCCTCGTTTTATCACCGGCAAATCGATGCACTGCATCGTCAGACAGAAATAACGAAAGGGGACCGAAGTGAATTGCTTCTATTTCAATCCGAGACAAACAAATTGGATACAAAGAGCAGATAACGTGGGCTTTTTGAGACGGCTTTTGCTATCCAACGGACATAAAAACCTGGCATTACCCAGACGATTCGCAACATTTGTTCTACTTGTATAAATTATGTTGTTTGGCGGACTAAAGTGTACTCACTAGAAAATTATGGACGGGTACCGCTAGAATCCACAGGGGTGGCGTTCTTGTCATTGCTTATCAGGTATGAAGGCTGGAAAAAGCGTTCTATTTAGGTTCAGTACTCTAAGTTGACCACAGAAGTTCACTTTCTTCGCCTCCCTCCAGTTAGGCGCAAACCCTATAAATCTTGTACTTTTTCACTTATTTTGTGTACATTGAGGGCTTGGCAGCGATCAGCAAAGCTCAATTCTCAGTGTCTCGCTGTGCCATGCTCATGAAGAGGATGCTGCTGCTGCTGATGATGATTTCGGTAGCCTCAGTGGGATTCGCACCCACGCATGGACGCTTCAAGTTAAAGATCTACAAAGGTGAACGACATGCACACATCTTGCATGTTGTTTTGTGTTCTGATTGATTTGAATAAAGAGACCCAATGTGGTACAGTAAAACGTTTTCAAAGTGATTATCACAAGGCGTGGTTCCCAGCATGAAACCCTATTGCAGGACTTCGGGCTCGTGTCCATCAATAAACCAATACAGACTGCGGTTGTTTTTTCAAATGGTTTGTGAAATTAAATTCATTCCTGAACAAACGGTTTAACCCACATAACGAAACTTTGTGCGGAGATGATTCAAATGAATACGCAATGTAACTGGAAAACAACTTTGTACTTAACGCTGAACTAAATCGAATAACTCATCGCAGATTGCAGTCTATCGTTTTTAGCTTACAATAATTAGTAAGCATTATATTCCAAAGCGCGCACACACACAAACACGCATAGCAAGCTGATTGAAGATGGGTAAACCTTTAATGAGAAGGTGGAATTGGATAACACGGAGATCATATTCCATATCCTCGACATTGAAACGCAGTTAGTCTCGGCAAAGTGCTTTCGATTCCCGCCCCCGCCCATGTGTGTGCACTCACAATGGACAATGAAGCTTAAGGCGAGAATAATCGTTTTGTTCTAGACTTGGACGAAGGAAAAATTGTTTACTTACATGTACTTATTCTCAAGACGCTCGACTGTACGTGTGTACTCTTCAGCAGCTTCCTTGAACAGTTCTTCATTCTATGAAAAATAAAGAATATGCGTAGCCAGATGGTCAAATATAGTCAGAATGAAAATTCACTACACAGTAAAGACTATGACCGAGGTTCAGTACCTATTATGATGATGTGCAAGTAACATGCTTACTGACAGCCCAGACTTAAGAAAGGATATTTTCTTGAGGGCACATAGGTTTAATCACTACACCTTTTGAAATCTGATAAGAAGCCACCATAATAATGCACCCCCATCAGCAGGTGAAAGGTTTGCAAGAATTTCCACGACTGAAAGATGATGGTCAATCAAAATTTCCGTACAAGTATGACTACGATAAAGGTCAGCTGAATTCATCGCAAACGATGTACAATTTTTGGGCGGTGGTGGCCCAATGGTAACGTTACCAAATTATCACCTCGGAGGGCGTGTTCGAATCCCACCACCACCGCCTGACCTTCCCCATTTGTGTGTTGCAAAGCAGCCCTTGGATTGATCGCTTCCCCTTCCTGAAAATTGTATCTTTGCTTATTCAATAAAAGGAATTAAATGAATGAATGACAAGTTTGCACGGACGTAAGTCAGATGGTCAGTTTCCTATAGCTATACTGTTGTTGTTTAACAAAAAGCACGTTCAATAAAAAACAAAAATAATAACAATGAAAATTTAAAAAAAACCAAACTGCATCTTACTCTCTGTTCGACTAGACGCAAACGTCGGTCATATTCTTTCTCCAGCTCGTGTTCATATTTTAACTGCTGGGTGAGATCCAATTCAGCCACGGAAGGACGCTCTGGAGTGAATGGATTACCGTCTAAATGTGACCATTACCACTTGGTGGAGATATACTAGCCCCACGCTGTATCCGATCTAAGACATCAGGAGTAATCTGAAACCATGTGACCATAATTATTGCAAACGTACGATAATATCATCTGGGGTGAAGGTAACATCACGAGATTCAGTAGATGACACAGAGGCGCCCATGAGAGAGCTAAAAACAAGCAAATAGTAGGCATCGATGAGGGAATTTGACACAGAACCGTGACATTCTTGCCTGAAAGTAAACTTGATTTTACTGCAAACAACAAAGTTTGGTGGTAATCTGAACCAACGCGACTTTTATGACCGGGTCTTCTGGTTAGGGTTTCGATACCNCCCCTTGTACCGGGTCTTTTTTCGACCACCCTTGGTTTCGCTCCACCCACTACCTGCCTCGGCAAACCTCCAGTTTCAGTTTTTATAACCATTAACCATGGAATTTCGTGCACCGGGGTTTTGGTTGCTGTCTTTTGACCACCTATTTGGATAAAAGAGCAGAATGAAGATTGGAATGTTTACAGCGAATTCAAGCGGAAGCTGGAGAATTCATATGGATAGATGATACAAGAATAATGAGTAGATTCATGAGTGCCCTTGTCTGCGACACCCAGCCATATCGCTTAGTCTCTAGCCATCGGTGACAATGATCTCCGGGTTTAGTTTCAGTTTATAAAACCATTAACCATGCACTTACGTGCTCCGGTTTTGGTTGATGTCTTTGGTTGCCCATTTGGATAAAAGAGCGAAGTGAAGATTGGAATGTCGAAATAAATTCAAGCAGATGGGGAATACACATAGAGTGCTGTTAGGAAAATAACGAGTGGATGCACGAGCGCCACTGTTTGCGACACCCAGCCATATCACTTAGTGTA